ATACCACCAAAAGAAATCTCTATTTGTGTGAAAAGAAGGATGTAAATACCATTTATGTACCGTATTGCATGACCGCGCAATTGTCAGTTAAACTAGTGCAGCGTTGTATTGTAAAAGAAAATGGCGTAAAGTGCAGTATCTATATCATAGTTTGTAGACGCTATAACTTTCACACAAAGCAATCAATATACACTTATTGAGATTTGTTTTTTTACCAAAAACATGTAGCAATACATTTTGGCCTAAAATAATGACATACTTTGGGTTTACTGTATATTTTTTATAGCCGAAAGTAAAAAAATGTTTTTTCTTCAAAATGTTAGGTCTTTTTTTTTTTGTTGTTTATAGCGTGAAAAATAGCCCAAAAGAAAGCTATATTTGTGTGAAAATAAAGGACGTAAATTTCATTTGCGTACAGCATTGCATGACAATTATCAGTTGAACGCACAATTATCAGTTGAAATAGTGCAGCACGAATAGCAAAAAGAGGCCTGGTCATTAAGGGAGGTAAATCCTCAGGGTGGCAAATGGTTAAAAAAAAATGTTGAACACCTTTTATCATTTTCCTTCCACTTCACAATTATGTGCCACTTTGTGCTAGTCTATCACATAAAATCCCAGTAAAAAACATTTACGTTTTTGGTTGTAACATGACAAAATGAGGAAAATTTCAAGGGCTCTAAATACTTTTTCAAGGCACTGTATTTTGTGGATTGTGAGGATAAGTGTGACGGAGGTGTGGGTGAACAAAACACATATGAAGATTAAGAGGGATTTCAGGGCCCCTGATCAAAGGGTTCTTTATTTTGGAGGGCTGAAAACTAGGGAGTCAGATAAAGGAGAAGTTCACAGGGCAATAAGTCCAACACTGTGAGGGACATGCAGAAATTTAATAGGGTGGCAAAAGCGAACATCAAAGGATAAGTCCAGAGACACAGGGCAGCAATCTAGTATAGCAGAGAGTTCAGAGTTTCAAGGCACATTCCGGGGCACAGCGAGTAGCAGTCCACAATCACAGTCTAGGATCACAGGACCACAGTTCAGGTATGAGGGACAGGTGACAATCAGGGACTTAGTCCAGAGTCACAGAGCAACAGTTTGGGCTCAGTGAGTAGCAGGCCACAATCCAGTACTGCAAAGTCCAGTGGCACAAGGCAACTATTTAGTACAACAGGGTATGACAAAGCAAGTGTCAAGTCCAGCACACAGGGCAGTGTTTCTGGCCCAGTAAGCATTTAAGTTCATCGCACAAGGCAGTAATCCAGCACAGCAGGGTGTGATACAGCCTGATCCATTCCAGCACACATGGCAGGGATCCTGGCACTGCAAGAGTTTAGATGACTCATCAGCCGACAGCTACCTCAGCCAAAGGGGTCTAGGTAGGGTGCCAGGGAAAGGAGGTCCAAAGGACGGAGGGCACAAGCCCTTAGGCCAATCGCAGGCCCTCGATAGGCAATGTGTCCTGGCCACAGCTTCAGAACCACACAGACAGCCGTTGTGAGAGAGGTAGAGGCATAGCAAGGAGAAGTAGTCTGCAAGATAGCACTGTGAAATTCAGGGTGAAGTCATTCATGCGGGCAGCATTCCTCATCCCCCTTCTAGTGGAACCTCCAGGTGTGGGTTCCCCTGTGCTCATCACTGAAGTAAGCTCTCCACAGTCTGACCCTTTTCTTTGTTGTTTGGAACTGTTAATGTAGCCAGAGGTCTCAGCTAGCATCTCCGGGTGCCAAAGTGTCTGGCCATCCAGGTACAAAATTCAGGGCATCCATACCTCCAGACCCTCTGCTTGGTCACAGAAACTCGCTAATCAATTAGGAAGATCTGCTAACTTATTTTCATACTGCTTTTCATTTAGTTTCATGTAACAAATGTTCTTTTAAAGGTTTTCTCTCTACCCATTTCTCAAAAATCAAATATTTCTGACCTCCGTTACATTAAGAATTTGTGACTTGCAGCCAACCCATCCTATTGAAGGTTGTTACTACAACCCCTGGCAAAAAGTATGGAATCACCACTCTTGGAAAATGTTCATTTAATTGTGTAGGAAAAAATCAATCACAAACATGCCTCAAAACTATTTTCATATTATATACTATTTTAAAAATTTAAAAAAAAGATTTTTTTTGAATATTATGGAATCATGATAAAAAAAATACTGCAGTACACCACTAGTACTTTGTTGCACCACCTCTGGCTTTTAAACCAGCTTGAATTCTCTGAGGCATGGATTTAACTATCAACAATCAGTATTCCTCATCAGTCTGGCTCCAACTTTCTCTTATTGCAGTTGCCAGATCAGCTTTGCAGGTTGGAACCTTGTCATGGACCGTTTTCTTTCATTTCCACCATAGATTTTCAATTTGATTGAGGTCCGGACTATTTGCAGGCCATGCCATTGAGATTATATGTCTTTTTTGAAGGAAAGTTTTCACGGCTTTTGCCCTATGGCAAGATGCATGATCATCCTGAAAAATTATGTCATTACCAAACATCCTTTCAATTGATAGACTAAGAAAAGCGTCCAAAATGCCAATTTAAACTTGTGCATTTATTAAAGATTTAATGACTGTCATCTCCCCTGTACCTTTACCTGACTTGCAACCCCAAATCATCAATGATTGTGTAAATTTGCATGTTTTCTTCAGGCAGTCTTTATAAGAGATGTTGGTTGATCCCAGTCAGCAGTCTATCAAATCTGGACTAAGTACAAATTATTATTCTTCAGGATCTATATAACGCCAACAGTTTGTGCAATCTAGGAGGAAGGGTTGAGTGATACAAAAGGTAATAGCTGTGGGGGATGAGCTGATGGACGAAATAAAAGGCAGATTACTAGTTAGAAGCAGGCTAGGGTTCTTTAAAGAGGTTTTCAGGGATCGTCTAAAGGTGGATAGATTAGGAGATACGTAGCTGGACAGATTGGGGTAAGGAGTTCCATAGGATGAGAGAAGCGCGGGAGAAGTCGAGGAGATGACATGGGAACTAGAGAGCAGAAGGTCTTGGGAGGAACGAAGAGAGTGGTTTGGTTGATATTTTGAGACCAGGTTGGTGATGTATCTGGGGGCAGAGTTGTGGATGGCTTTGTAAGTTGTCAGTATTTTGATTTTTATTATTCTTTGGGTGAGTGGAAGCCAGTGGAGGGATTGGCAGAGAATCGTAGCAGACACTGAACAGTTGGTAAGGTGGATGAGCCTGGCAGCAGCATTCATGATGGACTGGAGGGGGGATAGCCTATGCAAAGTTAAGCCAATGAGAAGGGATTTGCAGTAGTCGAAGGGAGAGCTAACCAGAGAGTGAGTTAGGAGCTTTGTGTTATCATTGGTTAAAAAGGGGCGTATTCTGGAGATGATGTGGAGGTTGAGGCGGCATGATTTGGACAGGGATTGGATGTGGGCCTAAAATTATAGTTCAGAGTCCAGGGTTACCCATAGCACCCTGGAATGCAGGGATGCATGGTTAGTGGTGCTATTGATCCTGACCAAGAAATCAGGGAAGAGGTACATGGGGGTGAAATATTATGAGCTCCGTTTTGGACCCAGCATTTCATATTCCTAATATGTGCCTGCTGTACCATGTCATTGTATGAAAAAGTATCCAGTTCTCTTTGTATTGTTTGAAAATCTAACCTAGATCACAGCAAAGGATTTAAGGCCACTGTAACTTGGTGTACTAGGTTATTGAAAAGGCATAAACTGGTACTGAGGCAAAAGACCAAAATTGCACAAAAATTACCTGCAGATCTTGACGGCAAAGTAAGCAATTTCTTTCGATATGTAATACAACAGTGCAAGAAACATGGCTATGCGTTAAGTAATATCGGAAATATGGATGAAACTCCTATGAATTTCGATATGGTTGGAAATAAAACTGTCAATTCAAACGGTGTAAAAACCGTGTTAATTAAAACAGGACATGAGAAGTCCTGTTTTACAGTGGTACTAGCATGTACAGCTGACGGCTCCAAACTAAGACCAATGATTATTTTTAAAAGAAAAACAGTGCCGAAAATCAAGTTCGCTGTTTGGAGTTTTTGTACATGTGAATGAAAAATGCTGGATGGATGAAGAAGGGGTAAAGCTATGGCTTGATAATGTATGGAGTAGGCGACCTGTGGACTTCGTCGAGAATGTAGCCTACTGGTGTGGGATATGTTCAGGGCTCATTTAACTACCAGCACAAAGAAAAGGCTGGCAAGAATAAACACATGCGGCAGTTATTCCTGCAGGATTGACATCGTTGGTACAGCCACTGGATGTGTCCCTAAACAAGCCATTTAAAGATAGCATTCGAGAACAGTGGAATGAGTGGATGGTCATTCACAAAAGGAGTAAACATGCATGCTCCACAATTGGATGTTTTCTGTAACTTTGTCATAAAAGCCTGAAATGATATTGATACAGAAAAAGTAATCAAGTCTTTCAAGTAGTGTGGCATATCAAATTCATTGGATGGTATGGAGGATGACTACTTGTGGCAAGTTGAAGGGGAAGCCGAAGCTGAAGTCACATAATCTGATTTGGAATTAGATCCATATGATGACTGTCTTACAAATGTATCACAAGATATCATTGATGAAAGATGGTGAGCATGGATTAGGACCACACCCAGGAAGGAGCCTGACCATGGCTTGGTGTGGCAGCCCGATGGGAGGGCTCCCAAGCACCTCCAGTGTCCTGCCGAGAAGGGGAGAGATGTGCGGGAACCCTGGAGAGACTAACCAGGGAGAGGGGGGGCTTGCCTGGCGAGGAGCGTGGACCTAGGACCTCCGGGAGTGGCGGCCATCGCGGCGTGTCTTCCTGTGCTCTCGGCGTGATGCTGTGTATTCCCCGGGGCTCAGTGGACGCTGGGCGATCAGGTGATCTTCCGCAAGGGAGCACTGGGAGGCACAGGAGCCGGCTGGCATTTCTTGGAGCAAGGAAGACGCTGGCTCTCTTCCCCCTGCACACAGGACCATGGCAGCTGGAGAAACACGGAAACGGGCTGGGTGAATGTCGAGTGCAATGTTCCCCAGAAGAGTACCTGGAGCCGCCTCACCTCTCACTTGGAGTAAAGGAAGAGATGTCCTAAAGTGCGGGAAAGTCTCTCAGAGAAGTTCAATATCTATAGAAACCAGAGATCTCACATGGGGGAGAAGTATTCCTGTTTCGAGTGTGGGAAATGTTTTTCATGTAAGTCCTATTTTTATATATACCAGTGATAATACAAGAGGGAGCAGCCATACCCTTGTTCAGAGTGCGGGAAATGTTTTCTATAGAAGTCCAGCCTGCATATATATCAGAGATCTCACATTAGGAAGATGCTATATCCCTGTTCTAAGTGGGGGAAATGTTTTCTCAGGCAAAACTAGACTTTACATATATCAGAGATCTTACACAGGTGAAAAGCCATATGTCTGTCCTGAGTGCGGGACACACTTTTCAGTGAAGCCCAGTCTTCACACACATCAGAGATCTTACATGGAGGAGAAGTTGAATACCTGTTTGGAGTGCGGGAAATGTTTTTCAGAGAAGCCCTTTTCTTCATATATGACAGAGATCTCATACGGGGGAAAAGCCGTATTGGGTATCAGAGGGTGAGTGAGAGCTGCAAAAATACTGAGATTAATATATTGCATGGGAACTGAGCTGTATGTATTGAACTATATGCTTAAACTGAGGAGGGGTTCACCCAGGGGGTCCTAAAGGAAAATCAGGAGGAGGACAATGTAAAACAGATAAAGACCTAGAAGAAGAAGACCCGGGTAGATGAGTTTGGGAGTGGGGGGAGAGAAAAAGGAAGAAAAGAACTGAGAGGGGGATACCCATGGAAGACAAGAAATTTTGATATCAAATAAAAAATAGACCTGCCTAAGGCTTCCCAAACAGGGTCAATTAAAAAATATATACCCTCACAGACTCCAGAGAGACAACAGGGTATAAGTGTAAGAGGTAAGAGGGAAAACAGCGGGAAATGTTCCAGACTATCCCTAGGAATAGCTAACAGTAGTCAACATATGGAAGAAGTGGATATGGATAAAGTAGAAGAACAAGAGGAGAGCTCACAGATGCCTACTAAAGCAGAAATAGCAGAAATGTTTAAAGGACTTGAAAGATCCCTAAATAGGAACTGACGAAATTACACAAAGATCTGGGGCAAATATTATCAAGGGTGGAGGAGATGGAAGAAAAATTAGATAAACATGCCCAAATTATCCAGAAATTAGAAAAACGGGCGATGGAAAAGAGAAAAGAACAAAGAAATCTGTTATATAAATTGGAAGAATAGGGATAGGAGATGCAATCTAAGGATACAAGGCTTTCCGGAGATCTCCCAAGGAGAAGATTTGATGGGAATAATAACGAGAATGCTGAATACTATAATGGATAGAACTATAACCGAGCCTCTCAAAAAGGAGGGAGTATATAGAATAGGAAAATTATTATTATACATGATTTATAAGGCGCCAACAGCTTGCTCAGCGCTTTACAATATAACGGGAGACAATACAACAACAATACAGTTCAATACAAGAGGGATTTGAGGGCCCTGCTCCTTGGAGCTTACAATCTAGGAGGGAGGGACTAGTGGTATAAAAGGAGGTAACTGGGGGATGGACTGGTTGGAAGAGTAGAAGATTCCAGTATTAGCTGAGGGCAGGATAGGCTTCCCTGAAGAGATAGGTTTTCAGAGTGAGCAGAGTAGAAGTCTAATAAATTGGGGTAGAGAGTTCCAGAGGATGGGGGAAGCTCTGGAGAAGTCCTGGAGATGAGCATCGGAGGTGGAGACAAGGGAGCTAGATAGTAGGAAGTCTTGCGGAGGAGCGGAGAGTAAGGTAAGGTTGGATGATATTTAGAGACAAGATCGGTGATGTAATTTGGGGCAGAGTTATAAATGGCTTTATACGTTATTGTTCGTGTTAGTGTTTAGTGTTTTCAATTTTATCCGGGCAACAGGAAGCCAGTGGAGGGATTGGCAGAGAGGGGTGGTAGATACAGAACAGTTAGTAAGGTGGATCAGTCTGGCAGGAACATTCATGATAGAATGAAGAGGGGATAGCCTGCAATTCGGTTGGCCAATGAGGAGAGAGTTACAGTAGTCAAGGCAAGATATAACAAGGGAGTGAATAAGTTGCTTAGTGGTTTCCGAGGTTAGGAATGGGCGTATCGTGGAGATGTTGCGGAGGTGAAGTCTACAAGATTTGGACAGTGATTGGATTTGGGGTTGAAAGGACAGATGGGAGTCTAGGATTACACCTAGCACCCTGGCATGAGGGGTGGGACTGATGATTGTGTTATTGATCTTGATGGACAAGTCCGAAAGGGGGCACGGGCTGTTGGGAATACTAAGAGCTCAGTTTTGGAAAGATTGAGTTTGAGGAAGTGGAGTGACATACATGATGATATGTCACTTAGTAGGTTAGTAATGTGAGAGGAGACTGAAGTGGTGAGGTGAGGAGTAGAAAGATAGACTTGTGTGTCATCAGCATAGAGATGGTACTTAAAGCCATGGGAGTTTATCGAGTGACCAAGGGAGGAGGTGTAGATGGAGAAGAGAAGGGGTCCAAGGACAGAACCTTGGGGGACCCCTACAGAAAGGAGTGAAAAGGAGGAGGCAGCGTTAAAGGTAACACTGAAGGATAGGTAGGAGGAGAACCAGGAGAGAGCAAAGTCTCGGAGGCCAAGAGAGTGGAGTTTTTTGAGGAGGGGGGGGATCTTAAACCATATCAAAAGCCGCAGAGAGGTCAAGTAGTAAGAGTACGGAGTAGTGGCCATTGGTTTTAGCAGTTAGTAGATCATTAGTGAGTTTTTGTAGGGCAATTTCCGTGGAGTGTAGTGAGCGAAAGCCAGACTGTAAAGGATCATGAAGGTTGTTTTCGGTGAGGTGGGAGCTCAGGCGATTGTAGACTAAGCGTTCTAGGAGTTGAGGTAAATGGCAGCAGGGAGATGGGTCTTAAGTTGTTCAGGTTGGTGGGGTCCAGGGAGGGCTTTTTAAGTATGGGAGTGATGTGCGCATGCCTTAGAGGGGAAGGGAAGGCACCAGTAGAGAGGGAAAGATTGAAGATGTGAGTTAGGGAGCATAGGATGGAAGAAGAGGGTAACCATAGTAGTTATGAGGGGACAGGATCCAAGGGGCAGGTAGTGAGACGGGCTTCTGAGAAAACCTTAGTGACCTCTTCGGTAGTAGCATGGTCAAAAGAGGAAGGTGTTGAGGGAGGTTTAGTATAAGGTATGCTGGATGGATGTTTGTGCAGTGGCGATGCCCCTACGAATTGCGTCAATCTTGTTTTTGAAATGATTTGCAATATCGTGAGCAGTGAGTGAGGTACTGGGTGGAGGTGGAGAAAGTAGAGAGTTAAAAGTAGAGAAGAGACGAGGAGGACTGGATGACAAGGTATTAATAAGAGTGACAAAGTAGGCTTGTTTGGCAGCATGAAGGGAGGAATTGTATGTTGAGAAAGATTTATATAGGGTGAATGCTTGTTGAGGTTTGGTTTCACGCCACAATCGCTCCAGCGCACGACAATGTCGTTTAAGATTTCTGGTGTCGTCAGTCTGCCACGGTTGTAATGGTCGGGGCCTGATGCTTCGTGTTGTTAGAGGAGCAAGTGAGTCTAATGCGGATGAAAGCAAACTGTTGTAGACAGCAGTGGCCAGGTCAGGGCAGGACAGGGGAGAGATTCTGTCATAGAGTTGGTCAGTTGCAGAGTGGAAAGGAGCAGGGTTCAAGTTTTGAAGGTTTCTGCGGGTAATTGCTGCTTGGAGGGATAGGTATTTGAAGACGAGATTACTGTGAAGGTGATGAGATTGTGATCAGAGAAGGAAAGGGGGTGTTTGTGAGGTTGTAGGGAGTGCAAAGACGGGAGAAAAACAAGGTCTAATGTATTCCCATCAGAGTAAGTGGAGAACTGTGTACACTGTGCTAATACAAAAGATGAGGTTATGTTGAAGAGTTGGGATGTAGCCCGGTTATTGACATTAATAGGGATGTTAAAATCTCTGAGAATGATAGTGGGTAGTTCAGAGGAGAGAAAGTAGGGTAGCCAGGCGGAGAAATCATCAAGAAAGCGGAACACTGGTCCAGGAGGCTTATAGATCACTGCAATCCTCAGAGAAATGGGAGAAAACAGCCAGATGCAGTGAGTCTCGAAAGAAGAGAAGGATAGAGAGGGAGGACTTGAAAGGTGCTCAGTGGGGATAGAAGCAAACCAACTCCATTACCTTTCTGACCACTGGGTCTGGGTGAGTGGATCCAGATGAGGCCTCCATAGGAAAGTGCTGCGGGGGAAGCAGAATCTGCTGCTTGGAGCCAGGTTTCTGTAATTGCTAGTAGGTTAAGGGAGCGGGAGATAAAAAGGTCATGGACAGAGGTGAGCTTATTACAGACAGAGCGGGCATTCCAGAGCGCACATGAAAAAGGGATGGTGGTTTTTGGGAGCACTGGGACTGATGTTAAATTGAGGGGATTGCGGCTATTCCCGGAAGAAAGAGGATGCCTGGTGTGGGAGGACCAGGGTTTGGGGAGATATCCCCAGAGGTTAGGAGAAGAAGGGTGAGGAAAGTAAGATGGGAGCGGGATGTACACAAGCACACATGCCTTCCAGTACTGGTGTTTGGGTCAGCAGGAGAGTGAAGTATCAGCAGGAGGTGATGAGAGCAGTAGTAGGTAGATGGTAGCGGTGAGGGTGAGATGTACCAAGTTTTGGGGTGGAGCAGAGGGATAAAGAAGTGAGATTTTGGGAACGCAGGATAGTAATATGAAAAGGAGGAGTAGAGGGGACATATTGCAAAGGTACATGGAGTGGCACTCAGACTTGTAAGAGATGTTTCCCAGGGTGTTTGTTTGCAGTCTGTCCAGCATGCAGTAGTTTCTTGCTGTTGTATCTTCCTGCTGCTTGAGTTATCCTGCTTTAGTTAAATTGCTGTGTTTAACTGCTTCTTAGCATTCCAGCACACAAGGTAGAGGAGTTGGAGGGAGGCGGGAGGTGTGGAGGAGGGACGGGAGGGTGGGTATGGGGAGGGGATAGGTAGTTTAAGACTGCAAAATAGTGGGAGAAACATCAGTCTGGAGAAATCGTAGAGATCAAAGGGGAAGATGTGGAGGAAAGAGGAAGAGAGAAGAGATGGGGAAGATAGAGGTGTAGAGAGGAGAAGAATGGAAGAGATTCACTTTGTGACTTATAATGTTAAAGGGTTAAATAGCCCTGGGAAGAGATTTGGGAATATTTAAAGAAATTTGACATAGATTTTCTTCAGTGTTTTTTTTTTTACAGGAGACACATTTGGTGCAAGAATCAAATGTGAAATTAAATTCCAGATATTATCCAATGTGGTTTTATGTAGATTCCCCAATTACACGTGCCAAGGGAGTGGCAATAGGTTTTGCGAAAAATATAAGGTTTAAGCTGGAAAACAGATTGGTAGATCCAGAAGGGAGATTTCTGTTTCTGAAGGGAGAATTACAGGAAATAGACTGTACATTAGCAAATATTTATTGCCCGAATAAGAAACTGGAGGTATTCCTAAAAAATACTCAGAGGAAGTTAATGGATTTCAAAAAAGGCAATTTAATTGTGGCAGGTGATTTCAATCTCTGTATG